ATGATGAATACTTCGATGAAATCATTGGACGTCAGGTTTATCAGTTACTTTTCAGATCAACAACGCTCTCAATGACGCTTTGGTGTCACCAAACCGTAGCGCGCCGTCTTATTGCTAAGAAAGTCCTTGAGGTACTCATACTGTTTGATACACCTTATCTTTGCGAGCAATCCTTTTCCAGAATAGTAGACAAATAACCGAAGAAAAGGAACAATCTTTGTTGTGAAAATTATATGAGATTGCCACTTGCCAAGGTGAAGCCGCGCATTTCTGAACTTGTCTCTGGATGGCAACAGCAAAAATCATATTGATTTGCAGTAAATATTCATTGTTTTTTTTTTGTGAAAGTCATATTTTGTTGGTTGTGTTCTTTGACCATAGTGATTTTCAGTGCAACTGATGTATGGTTCATTTGTACACTAATAAAATATATACCTATGTTTTGAAGAAATCGTATTTTAATTTTCCAATTACGAAGGTTCCCGGTGAATATAGGGATAAAACTTGCGGGGTTCAGTACCTCCAACAAGGTCAAGAACCACGGGTTTAGTGATTCTTGAGAAAATCCAAAGAAGAAACGTCAACATTATCGGTAGTGGCATGGCATTTGGGTTCCAGTCTCTTTTCTATCGCCATAACTGAGCTTCCCTTTTAGACAGCGCTCTGTTTGGTCAAAACATAGCCACTTGCTGGTGACTGGCGGCCTGTCTAGGGTACAGGCTTGGGCAATGGTATATGGAAGCCGTGTACTGCCCAGATTACATAACCCCTATTCTTGGCTGTACCGACAAAATTCAAAGAAATACAGGGCATGATATTTAGGGTCGGCTTGGCGGCAGGAGTTGTCGGAAAGTTGTCAGGGTTGACAGCCAATTGGCTTCGGAGTTTTCTGTCCAGATTTACTTCCATAGCCTTTTTTCGTGTTTTGATATGACCACAAAGCAGTGGAGATTTAGTATCAAAGGTTTCCTTCTCCTAGATGGACTGCTTTGGACTGTCGGGCTTCATCTACCCGAAGCAGCTGGTTATGGGGCGCCAGATTTCCGCCATCGCCTATTCTCCGACTTGGAGTCGTTCTTCGTTGTCAGAGGCTATTTGAGATGCATGCTACGAAAGCATTGTATAGATAGTGGGAGCTTGTCCCCACTATCAACCCCAGTTCTGACTACCATTGCAGCATAATGTGCGTATATAAACATTATATACATTACATTAAAGAATTGACAATAAAAATAACAGACACTATTAATTTATTAGATAGTTTATTTACACTATTTATTTATAAGATTGTTTACTGGAATAGATGGCATTACATCAGTTAACTGCCAATTGATTCAAACTTTATAAAAAGGGTAATAATAAAGATTTCCTTATAATTGGTTCAGTTATTTTAATAAATTAGTTCATGTTTATAAATTACGAATAAGAATTTTTTTCATATTTATTTCTTTATAAATTGGTAACTGCTAAATATTGCATTGCATTAGTTGAAATTGTATTAGTTTTTAGAATGTTGTAAATATAAAATTATTCTTGTATAGAAGCAATCTAATAAATAGGGGTTAATATTTTTATTGCACATTTTCAAGAAAAGAAATGTTTAAATCCACTTTCAGAATATGATGACGTTTCATTACAATTCTAATCATCACTTTTAAAAACAATAAACATCGCCGAGGAGTGAAGGTAGTTAAAATAATAGCGGTGTCAAGGGAAAAAACATCCTTCTGACACTCCGTTTTGTGTTGTTAGTGCGAAGATTCAAGTTTGCTAAAAGTGTTTCAATCCTTAGATCAGCCACAGCAAACTTAAGTCTGGTTTCTTACATTTCACTTTTATAAGTAAATCTTCTATTATCACAATAGGGGATATTTAATTAAGAAAAAGTGATAAAAGCATAAACAAAAAAGAAAAAAAACAAAAAAGAGAATATTATATAAATGAAATCGGATAGGCTGTATACCCAAAACATATATTAAAAAAAACAACATTTAGATTGAAATTTAAAATTAAATGTCCCTAAAAAAAACAACGTAATATACCAAGCCATGGTAAAAAAAATAACAAAAAACAACGTAATATACCAACCACGGTAAAATCAAGAAAGAAAACGAAGAAAAAATATACATAGGAGAAACTGAAGAGCCTTGGAAACAAGGAAACTATGCACACAAAACATCTTTCACAAATAGTAAATACGCGAACAGCAAAATGTTTTCTAAGTGTATCTGGGAAATTAAAAACAAAACACAAATCGCACCAAAAATATGGAAAATAAGGAAAAGAACATCAGCCTACAACAATCAATCCAAAAACTGCAAGCTTTTCTTGGAGGATAAATAGCTATTATTACCTTCCCAAACCAAAGCAAAATGCTAAATAAACGATCAGAACTCAAGCTCAAAATGCATATATGAAAACAAGTTTTTACTACGTTGCTTAGAAGTCAAAAACTGAAAAGAATAAATAAAAATAAATAAAATAAAAACAAATTAAATTAATCCAAGCAAATAATAAACAAATTAACAAACCATTCCCGCCATAGCAATCGTTAGAATAGACTACAACAATCGATTCAAAAAATGGCTATAATTACATTCCCAGACAATAATAAACTACTATATAAACGATCAAAACTCATCTAAAAAATTATTATGTTACGTAAAAATCGAAAACTGAAAAGAATAAAGATACATATAATAAAAATAAAGAAGAAAAACAAGTAAAATAAGTTCATCCAAACAAACAGATAAATAAACAATAAAGTAATTAACAAACCGCTCCTGCCAAAATAACCGTATATGATGTGTCGTAAACAGAAAAGTTTGACACACATATAGAAAATAAGACGTAGTTTATTCCGGAGAATAATATGGTACACGGTTGAGAATACAGACTAATGTAATAAACAGTTAATCATTAACTCCTCCGTATTTACGCGATACCTCCCCACAGAGCGGGATGTGCTACAAGGCCAATTTTTACGAAGAGCGTTCCGATCCCCTGCGCTCTGGCAAAAATCGCCCGTAGATCTCGGATACACGGGGTCGGGTAGCTGTCTACCTCCACAGACGAGATTCTGCCCTTCGGCATAGCCTCGTCTGGGTTCCCATCTACCTTCGACAAGTTGTAAGAGTTAACCGTTAACTCCCCGGTATTTACCCGAGGCCTCCCGACAAGGCGGGATGTCGCACAAGGCCAGTTTTTTAACGTGGGGCTTTTCGACCGCGTAGGCTCGGGCAAAAATTCCCCGTAGATTCCGTAAACATAGGTCGGGCAGCTGTCTACCTCCCCGAATGAAACAACCTCATCTGGCTTCCTCTCTGCCCGACTTGCAGAGAATTATTGATCTCTAATCGTTAACTGGTCTTCTTTTTTAAGAGAGTGTCCTGTTTAAATAGTTTTAGAACAGTCGATCTTTTGCGGGTGTTCGGCTACTCCACAACATTGTATATATATGATATAATAAATTATTGCATGTTGAGTGCTGGTGCTAATAAAGTAGTGCTCGTTTTATGATAACAGATTTATAACCAGACGCTTCCTCTGTAGCTGAGCAGTATAGCACATCATATTAAATGATGGTTCCGTGCAGAATACAGGTTCGATTCCTGTCGGAGGGCACGTATTTTCAACCATATTTCTCGGACATTCAGGCCGGTAAATGTAGTTAATACTTTTTTTTTATTATAAACAGAACATTTACTTAACTATTTGTATCTATAAAAATAAGGTATAAACATAAAATATATTAAAATAATTGTCCATTTCAAATAATCTTTTTAATCAGTTCACCCGAATCAAGGCAATAACGCCACTAAGATGCAAATAGGGTACTGATAGTGAAAGAGAAGAAAAAGACTTTAGGCGGAATCGGAAACACAATCCTAAACAGGAAACAAAGAATCAACACCTACTCCTGTTGAAAAGACTGAGAAAATGTGTAAAGCAGAAGACAGAAGAATCTACTCCTTTATAAGACTTGGAGTAAAGATTTGCGTAGAACCGAAAATACTATTTCTTAGATATCTTAATATATAAAAATAATAAAATAGAATGCAGCCATAGATTGTCATTAGATTTGTACATGCAATAAATTTTGCAATAAAGGTCCGTAAAAATGATAAAGATATCCCTAAAATTAGTTTTTGGTATATAAATTTTTTTTACATCATTTTCCCAGTTTCAAGTGTTTAAATAGTGATAATTTTCTCCTTACAATCAAAGTCCGAACTGCATATTGATAATTAATGAGAGAATCTGAATTATTTTAATTAATTGTGAGTAACTACAAATATAATTAAGTCGTAAATATTTTCAGAAAATAATGCTAGCTGCAGGCAATTTTACATATATAAATAGAAATATCTCCTCGACCTCAATTGAGGTCATAGCCTCCATAACTTCACACTGTAGTTAATTTAGACATCCATAATCCTTTCCAGGTCCCTTAAGTATGGGCGTCGTTAGGGCTAATACAAAATTATCGTTTTCATATACTAGTTGACAACCACAGCTAGAGAGCACAGTCTACCCTTCTAGCTGGGCTAGGGTAGAGAAGAGATTGATTCTTATATTTCGCAAGAGTATTGATATCGAAAGTGACTGTAACGTAGTCTATCGCGATTCGAACTCGGCCCGCCGAATCTTCATTTCAAGTTACTGAATACAAATTGTTGTAACCGGGAACTAAGGAAACGGAAGCACCGTTTGAGGTATGGTTCAGTCACGGAAGTACCGTATCCGCCATGTTGTTTATGTGTGAATAAAAGGCAGGAGTATCGCTTCTGCAGGCAGAAGTCATGAGAATAAACCGCATTGTCGTTGTTATTAAAGATCCTCTTACCATGTGATATTTTGGCAACGAGAAGAGATTTTTTTTTCAAGAAAATATGTCAACACTCGGATGTTCAAAAAAATTCGGCATTGAATGTAGAAATATTTCATCAGTTGGTATTTAATTTTGAAAGATTTTGAATAAATTAAAGATAAGCTTCAAATTAATAGCACAAAGAAATTAATAACAATTTAACAATTATAATGCTATATATCAGTGACAGACTGGCCAGAGTGACAGCTTGCCGATGGCAACCGCTCCCCAACCTTGCTACATATGCTGAAGACGGCGATCGCTGGCGGAATCGGGCGCGGCCAGGCGGCGGAAGGAAGTGAGAACTCCCCGCCGGAACCACTTCCGGCCCGGTGCCCTCACACGGGCTCTCTCGCTTTCGCTCTGCCTTCGGGGTTCGTCAGAGAGGGCCCCTACGACTCGCGAACGGCCAGGACACCTCGGTCCCTGTTTCAAGACGGATCGGTTGGGTTGATGATGCGCGTCGTGAACCTGAGGTGACGGGTGGCAGTAAAGAGGCCGATTTACCGCGCTGGCAGTGCCCTCCCTCGCGCCCGCTTTTCTTTTTTTTTCCGGACGCGGAGAAGACTACGCGACGAGACGACGTCGTGCGTCGGCACGGGAATCGACGCGGCTGCGTCGGTTTCCAGACTCCTGCGAACCCTGTACCTCGCGTGCACGAGACGGTGGGGCGCCGAGGGACGCAAAAGCGCTGCGCAGATCGTTCGACGAGAAGAAACCGGCTTACCATTGAAAATAAAATTATTGGGTGCAGAAGCAGTTTTTTTTATTTTTTTTAATAATTTCACCGCAAGCAAGGCGGAAATACCACTAGTACCCTGGGGGTGGGGTTACATGGAATGAAAGTGAACAAAAGACTGTGTATTGAAGTGAGGAAAGGGCAAAAGATAAACTGGATTCATGTAAAGAGAAAATAGCGATTGACGCTACATTTAATTTTTTGAAGATTGTAGTTATCACGGAACCAATTAAACGGAAGGAAGTTCCACAGGCGAAAAGGGCAAGGAAAGAAGAAACCATTGAAGCAGAAGTGGCGATTGTATTTAACTATTTCAACAGCAAAAAAAAGTGGGACCTATTTGCCAACCTAGTATTACTCTAAAATTCACGCAGTTGGGACACCACAGCAAAAAACTTATCAGAAGAATATTTGTAGTTATTGGCATATAACGAACAATAATCTAATGGGCACAAACAATAGCTCTTAATATAGTGGACTGCATGCAATGACCTATTTTGCTTTTGAACTGTATGTTCATATTTAAATTGCGCAGTAAAATATTTATGAATATTAACCAATTATTTAAAATTAAATAAAATTCCTTTATAACATTCGGTATTTACATTTGATATCTCCTACCAGTAATACGTACAGCAAATGTACACTGTAATTACTTGTTAACAACGTTCACCATAGCCTATGAATATAGAATACAGCGCAGTACGTAATCTGTTCAATGAAACAACGTTAAAGATTAATACTCACGAGTCAGACACTCTACTGAACCGCCTATATCGTCAATACCACCAGCAGCTGTTCTGTAATTTTTCAGTCTTCGATATCAAAGGCTGGCAGTGAATATTCGAAAAAAACAAAAACATGGCCGCCTTTATACACGTCGCATTGAATATTTTGAGCCTTCTGATTGGTTAACCCTTCTATTAGTGAACAATAATATGAGTCAGCTCATTTTGGCTAGCTCACTAGTACACTGAAGTACCCAAAAATTCTAACATTACTAAGAAAAAAAAAACACGTATTTCACAAAAAATTAAATTGTACACTTTTTTCTAAAATGTGTTTCATTAAAACGAATCAAAGTCAGCAGTAAATAAATCAGTGTTATTGGTGAAAATTTATTTATTTCCCGATTGGATTGTTATTTAAGTCATGGCAATTATGTGTGAAAAATAATATCGTCCAATTATCCGCCAAGGCTTCGGTGGTACCTCCATTCGATGGTAAAAATTTTTGATGCATAGTTGCTCCTCTGTCTCACCAATATGCCTTATTATCTCATTCTTCAACTGTTGAATTGTTGGCTTATTGGCATAGACCTTACTTTTGAGATGACCCCAAAGGAAGAAATCTAAAGGCGTCAAGTTGCACGAATCGTGGAGGCCAATTGACTTCGCAGTTTAGAGAGATGATGCGACCTGCGAAATTCTCATTGAATTTCTGTTTGAACGTGCAATTTCGTAACAGGCTTCAATAACTTTAACACGTTGTTTGATTGTTAATCTTTCCATGGTTGAAATTGCCAAAGACTTAAGTTGTTAAATCTGAAAGGAAAAGAAAGAAATCATTAGACGCTTAAACTTAATTCACATTTAAAATCGGTCCAAATCATCATCATCATCATCATGATCTTTTCTTTTGTAATCTTAGGGTGGATCCGAATGCAAAATCCACACCCTTTTCCACAACGGTATACCAACGGCCGACATCAGCAATTCTGGTAGAGTCATACCTGTCAATTGTCATTGCCCAAACAGCTTTTGCGTTGGCGTCCTCTCCTACGTCCACCGTCAACGGTGACTTGCATGATTGTCTTGCAGAGGCTGTCGTGCCTAGTAGTGTGTCCAAGCCAAGCCATTTTTCTCCGTTTGACTGTGGCGAGAAGAGGTTCCTGGTGGCTCATAAAACTTTCAAACCTTTTCCGCAAAAACTCATTGTTTGTTTTTTTATTTTAATTTTTTTTTGTTCTCAATGGAAAAAGCATGAGAAAACTCCCTGGCATTAGAAAAGCCCTAGGAGTTTTAAGTGGCGAGAAGAGATTCCAGGTGGCAATAAAATTTTCAACCCTTTTCCGCAAAAACTCATTGACTTTTTGTTCCCAATAGTAAATGCATGAGAAAACTCCTTGACATTATAAAATGCCAAGGAGTTTTCTCATGTCTTTTCTATATGTATTTTTTTTTTGTAGATTTTATTTATTTATTATGAAAATTAAATGATAGCATTAGAGTTGTAAGTGGGCGCCCATTTCTCTTGCCAAACAATATTTTTAGACCCAGTCTGTTGCGATAAATGGTAAGTTAACGAGGACGCAATTTTCAGAAATTATAAAATCCTTAAATGCTACCAGACGTAAAGAATTATATAAATCTAAAAAGACCCAGGATCTTCGAGAAGGTCAACAATGATTAACAAACGTAGACTTAATCAAACGTAATAAACAGGGAAAAACTAGACATGCGTTATTTTGTGTTGAGAATCGAGAAACTTGAAATAAAAAAAAAAATCAAAGAAAAGCATTGCCTATCGGTAACAAAAAGCATGTATGTAACAACGAGCTGCAACGTAAGCACAAGTATATATTAACGCATCCATTACTTTACATATTTTTATATTTTATATTATGCTTGTAATTTCTACTAGGATGTTTATGATGGAGTCTGGAAAGTTTGTGTGTGTGTTTAGGATAGGTGTAATGTAGGTCGTCTGGATAGGCAGGTAGTTGTGTGACCGATGTAATTATTTATGAGTTCGGTTACATCAAAAACACAGTTTCTTAAGGTTGCATTTGAACTCGTAAATAATGTTTGTACGTTTGCAATTTTGATTTTGCAGGTGTGTTGTTATTTTTTAGGATAAGGTTACCTGTTTAAATAAGAAAAAAGAAAAAGCCACCATTCAATAATATTAACTAGGAACACGGCCATAATGTGCTGACAGTGTTCGTAAAATAACTCTAGACACATACACATAACCCGTACATCCAGTTAAAAATTTTAAAAAAAAAAAATCATTCTTGATAATGGCTAAAATATTATATTACAGAACATTTAGACAGTTTCAACACTTAGTGTCAAGAAAAGAATATACTTGTTCGAACACAAGAAAAATTAAATAAAAAGGGTTAATCGTAGCACTGTGTCTGGCGTCTTTAATGAATCCCCTATACATATATATATATATATATATATATATATATATATATATATATATAGATAGATAGATAGATAGATAGATATATATATATATATATATATATAGAAAGAGAGAGAGATACATAGATACAGAGAGAGATACATAGATAGGTACAGAGAAAGATAGATACATACATAGATACATACATAGATAGATCATAAATACATAGATACATAGATAGATACATAGATACATAGATAGATAGATACATAGATAGATAGATACATAGATACATAGGTAGATAGATACATAGATACATACATAGATATATCATAGATACATAGATAGATACATAGATAGATAGATAGATAGATAGACAGATAGATTTCAAATGTCTATTTTATCCAAATTGTTTTTTCTTCAGAATTATTCAGAGAAATTTATCAATATGTCAACATGGAAAACTAAAACAAATTCTTAGCAAAAAAGAAAAAAAAAAGTTAGCAATATCCAGAAGGAGGCTGACACAGTAGCGTTTCCATTTTAAGATTTTGAATTTAATGTAAGTAAAAACTATTTGTTTTTTTTTTCACTTGCCTTGATGAAGTCGGATTGAAGGAACGCTTCGGCAATGACTAAAAAATATATTTTCCAATTGTCTTCTTTTTATCCAAATTGTCTAATTTACAATTTGGGCAATGACAATTTCTGAGAAAGAAATTTGACACACACACACACACACACACATATATATATATATATATATATATATATATATATATATATACAGTGTAACCCAGATATAAGAGAGTTGTCGTGACCGGAGAAGTTTCTTATATCCGGGTTTCTCTTATATCCGGGTTTGGTCTATTTTATTTAGGTAAGTATGGGAACACTTTGAGACCAAAGAAAATCTCTCTATATTCGGGTTTCTCTTATATCCAGGTTACTGTATATATATATATATATATATATATATATATATATATATATATAACCTTGGATATGATAGAGTTGTCGGGACCGGAGAAGAAGTCTCTTATATCCGGGTTTGGTCTATTTTGTTTAGGTAAGTATGGGAACACTTTGGGACCAAAGAAAATCTCTCTTATATCCGGGTTTCTCTTATATCCGGGACTCTTATATCCGGGTTACACTATATATATATATATATATATATATATATATATATATATATATATATATCTGTGTGAGTGTATGCGCTTGTGTGTTTCGGTGTGTGTGTGTGAAGCAGTGTCAATGAAAAATGACCTTGCTCGTCGGGTGTCAATAAATTCAAATAGAAGTCTCCACCATCGTAACTGGGCAAAAGAGACGGCAAATGGGCGATAGGCTAGAATGAAGTTAGTCTCCAAGTGCGTCATGCACACAGATGTCTGTATAGTCATTGACAAAAGAAAACACACGCGCGTACGCACTGACACAAACACACCCACGCATACACATATGTGTGTGCATTCGTGTGCATAAATCATACATAAACAACAGAAAACTGACTAGATGACAAATTGCTTGATGAATAAGTAAAGAGGTTCAAATGATTACAGGACGTTAGATATCTATCATTATTACCTACTGTCATATACAGGTCTTTAAAAGTATATCCATACACAGTATATATATGTATATATATATAGATAGATATATAGATATAGATATAGATATGTATATATAAGTCTGTGTGTGTGTGTTTGCGTGCGTGCGTGTGTGTGTTTGAAACCGTGAAAATTATTTCTGTTTAGAAAGTTGGTTATTTCTTCCCAGGTGGGCAAATATTATGACAAACTGTGAAAATTAAATAAAGAATGAGTTATTCTTTATGTCAACCAGACAGGGCCGGTGCAAGTGTCCTATACCCCACCCCACGATGATACGTGGCTCCCCACTCTACTACGTCTCAGTTTTCATAGGGTATTATTCCCATAAATTATATATCTTATTGTAACCTAATTATGTACAATACTGGATCATATGCAATATAGGTGAACAATTCAACTAGAAAAATTTAAAAATAAATACAATGTTTCTAAATACAAATTAGAGACATGTCATAATAGATCATTCCATCTTAAAATAAATCAACAATGTTTTACAGAAATCTTAAACATCTACTTGAGAGTTTTCTTGTTAAAAATTTGAATAATTTTAAAAGACGTTCAACATTATAGATAAAAAATAATGAATCTCATACAGTGTTTTTTTGAGATAGATATCTGTACATATCTTCACCAGTATAATCAACCTATATCTATCTATCTATCGATCGATCGATAGATAGATAGATAGATAGATAACATGTATTACTTTTCAACCCCAAATGTTTGACCGGTACATTTTGTGAGGAAGACGCTTATATATAAATATCTATATAAGAATTATTTTACATCCAAAAAATAGGTTTGACCAGCACCCTTCCCCGAATCTCTCATACGCTCCCCCCACTCTACTGCACCTCAATTTTCATAAGGTAGTATTCATATAAAATACAAATTTTATTCTAACCTAATTATGTATAATACTGGATCATATGCAATATAGGTGAACAATTCAACTAGAAAAATTAAAAAATAAATACAATGTTTCTAAATACAAATTAGAGACATGTCATGATAGAATATTCTCGGACACCTCGGCCTGGTGTAATGCTCAGCAAGCTTGTCTTGCTAAAACTGTTACGAATGAATAGTGAGTTCGATTCGCACTGGGTACCGTATCCTTTCGACCTTGTGTTACATCTAATCTACGCTTAGAAAATCACCGTAATACATCTTTCCATCTTGAATAAATAAATCACTATATTGCGGCAGTTTTTAACATCAACTTGAGATTGATTGTTTGAAAGTTGAATAATTTTAACACATTCAACATTAGGGATAAAAATAATGAATTTTATGTTTTTTTTTCCGGGACTTAGCATAACAAATTCAGAGATTTGGACGAAAAAAAACAAAAAAAAAACAAACATCTATAACGACGTCAAAATCCACGGAAATTTGTCAACCTTTCCTTTTATTGTCCTAGTTTAATTTGTATCATATAAATATAGGTAGAAAACAGCAAATGATGTTAAGAGAGAGAGAGAGGGTCAGTCAGAACTGCCCGGAGCACGCAATCAGGCTTGGGGCCCCCATCCCACTTCACTGGTTGGAGGGTCTGGACCTTTAAGCAGCCTTATACAGGGTGTCCATAAACTTCGTGTGCACTTAAAAAAAATTATAACTTTATTTGTATTTGCGATAGAAATAATCTGTAAAAAATGTTATAAAGTTTAATGTACCTAGTTTTAAGTATAGCCTAAATAACTCATGTGATTTGATTTCAGGCATTACTGTAAATCAGTTGGCAAATGTTTTTTTCAAAATCGTGTTACCCTTTATATTGCTAATGATGGAGAAACTTAAATAACTTTTCAATAAAACCTTAAAAATATAGATTTACTTCTTTCTAATCTTTTTTTACAAATTATTTCTATCGCAAATACAAATAAAGTTACAATTTTTTTAAAGTGCACACGAACTTTATGGACACCCTGTATATTGTCCGACAAGATTGCATCTTCAATTTTAATAAATTGTTTTGTTATACTTATTTATTCTGAAGCAATCTTCGTATAGACGTCAAAATATTATGACATTGATAATATAATGGAACTCCAAAATTTGTGTAAATATATAAATGCACAAAGATTTGAAATAAAAAGTCTTTAAAAACAGGAATACCTTTAATATACCGACTACTAGTACTACTACTACTACTACTGAGTCCTGGGTATAACGATAAACTACATATGGCAGCAAGGCCTTTGATCGAGAAATTGAGGAGTGCAGAACCACCTCTTAATTGCTGTTATTCCCAGGTCCAACCAGATCCGAGGTGGTAGCACCTGTTAGGGTCCCAAATATGGGCAAATAATGAACCCCTAAACAAACTATGAAAGTATAAAAATGAATTTTTATAGTAAAAATACCAGCAATACATTTTTATACATATAAAAATGATCAGAGATACCTATTTATATTAAAATTACTAACAATACGTCAAGCAACACGAAAGAACTCTTTCATGACATTAATCCATATAATATCCTATAATTTCTGAAATCAAACTGTATTCCAAAATATAACTTCAAAAAAACTGCAACACAGAACACACATATCACTGCCTCTAGTAATTATGTTCGCACAAACATATATATGCAGAAAAGCTGAGTATTATCTACCCTGTATTCAATTGTGAAAGCAGAATAACATATATATATATATATATATATATATATATATATATATATATATATATATAAACTGAATTACCATTATTAATTGATTTAAAAAATTTTTAAAACAGTAATCAGTTTGTTGACGATTAAAGCGTGAACCCAGGGTCACAAACTCACATCTATCCAACCAAATATGTTTCTAAAATATTGAGTGCTAAAAAAAATGCGCATATAATATATAAATAATTATACACATATATTATTTTTTTATATTAAATTAATATATATATATATATATATATATATATATATATATATATATATATATATATTAATTATTTCACTGACATTAGTTCCATTTCATTCTCAAGCTAATTTTCTTGAGGATGAAATTCCAATTCTAAGCTAATTTTTCTTGAGGATAAAATGGAAAAATTAAATTTAATTGTAAATTTTAGCTTTTTATTTTTGAAACATGGTTAGAATTGTGTAGCGGAAAAACATATTTTAAATCAATTAATTATATATATATATATATATATATATATATATATATATATATAATATCAATGTGTGTCACACTTTTCAAATTTACTCCTAGAGGCCTAGCTCAACAGATATTTTTTTCAGGGCCGACTCCGTGAGCAAATTAAAAACATTCTGTGACGGATCCGGACCCGTAATCCTGAAAGTTTGCATTCTTAAATTTTCATTACTGCAATTGTTTTCGGCGATTATTTTTATGTTTTTTTTTTTTTTTTTTTTCGACAAACTTTTTGTACGATAAATATTCCAACATAAGTTAGAAATAAATTTGGGAATAATTGAAATTAATTGCGAAATCCAGCGAAAGTCACCGATGACAGAAAGATAATTGTTTGTACGGTAAGTAAGGACCTACGTACATCAAATTGTCTTTAGATTAAATGGCAACAGAAGAATTATCGTTGAACTTTTAAAGAGTAAACTTAAATATTAAATCAATACTTAAATGCAGCGATCAAGTTTGAGTTTTAGATTTTATTATTGCCTATCGCATACGTCAGCGGTATGCCTTGCAAAAAGAAATCTCCACTAACAGAGGACCAGATTGCAATCAAAAGAACTAATATTTTCTGAAATCAAACTGTATTCCAAAATATAACTTCAAAAAATCTACAACATAGAACACACATATCACTGCCTCTAGTAATTATGTTTGCACAAACATATATATGCAGAAAAAGCTGAGTATTATCTACCCTGTATTCAATTGTGAAAGCAGAAACATATATATATATATATATATATATATATATATATATATATATATATATATATAAAAGAAAAACAGACCACTTTTTAAGATAACATTATAATAATTTATTTCACCAGAGCCCTTGTAAACGACGCTGGATCATCAGATAGCACTTCCAAAAATGAAATGAAACGAAAAATGAAATTAAAATTGATGGGTAGTGTAAGTTTTTGTAATTTAACAGAGAGTGTAAAAGGAGTAGTTAAAGAGACATGGCAGAGTATAGGGAGGGATTAATTTCATATCTCTCTCACGTATACTTTGTATTGGGGGAGGAGGAGAAAAGAAAGTCCCGTGCAAATCAAAAGCCAGATTACACGGCAACTAGGAAAGCTTCCAATGCTGAGAATATGCAAACCCTTAGGGACTCAATCTCCTGACCAAACCGAAGGTTCAATCAAGATCCCTCCGCAGGAGCTAGCTTAAACGACACCTGAAAGGGTGGCTTTTAAGCTAGTATATAACATTTTTATTTCTTCAAAGATCCCGACAAAATTAAATTTCAACATTAAATGACCCATAAAGTGTTGTTATGCCGTTAAACAACTACTACTACAAGTACCAAGAGTAATAATAATGAGAATAAGAAGAAGCTTAGTCTTGTCGAAGACTTTAGACGGGTACTTGAAATAATCATTAAAGTCAAGGTCTTCAAAGAACCGAAAATTTATCGAAGAAGCTATTGACTCAATGTATTTGTTCCATCTCAGGTCAGCAGTTAATGTGAGACCGAGTAGTCGCAAAGAGTAGCTTTCGAGAAGTTGACCGTCAGACATTCTAATAGGAGGCAGGGACGGTTCACTGTGGTGAGTAATAGAGAGCAGTTTTGTTTTTGGGGCGTTAAAGTTAAC